TATGAAACAATTTATTTATTAAAAAAAAAACATATTTAATCTTTACTCAGATAAGCTGAAGGCCGCTTTTAACACTGTTTATTTTAAACTCAACAACTTACTTTCATTGTCTGCAATAGGTTACCGTAGATGACAAAAGCAATTGCCTGATCAATACCACGTACAATCTCAGCGGCAAACTGATGGCAGTCTCATTTGCAGTGTATTCTATTATAGAATATTACGTTTAAACAAAACATTCCTAAATGCACCATACTAACACTGAATAAAAATAACAAACATCACTTGAATATTGTGAGACATTGTGGAAACACTTTGAATCAAATTAAAGATCAAAGTGACTTGGTCTGTAATAAAATGAATAATTACGTTGATAGTATATAATATTACACATAGGAACAAACCACGAAAGAATTATACACGGAATTGGTGGCAAGTACATGATGTTGTATTACATTTTGAATAGGATTCCACGTGCATGAGCAATTCACTCTTTTTCGAGAACAAAGGAAACAAAAACATAATGCATTGTCAGATACATTTGTCAGCTATTTATGCGTGCGTCAAGGAGACAATCTTTCTCCAATTTTGTTTTCAATTTTCCTCAAAAATCTAAGGATTTATTTGTTTGTCTACTATTGTGAAGGGTTGCAGTTTTTATCAGACCAGGTAAATGAACAGCTAGGTAATATATATATGATGAAGTGCACGTATTCTTGAAGTTGTGCCTGTTAGTAAATGCCGATGATACAGTTGTTTTTTTGCGGAAAGTCAAACCGGCCTTTAAACAATACTTAAATGCATTCTTGAATATTGTAAATTGTGGCACTTGACTGTTAACACTGATAAAACAAAAGTTGTTGTATTTTTCTCTTTGTTAATTTAGACAAAGGCCTGTATTTTATTCCAATAATGCGCCTCTAGAAGCTTTTAAATAAGATGATTTTAGTTATTTATGTGTGATATTTTACTTTAATGGTAAATCTTATAAAAAAAACCCCACACACTTGACAGATCAAGCTAGGAAGGCTATGTTTAATATATTAACTTAAAATAAAAAAAACAACAACAACAACTGGGTTAGCCAATTGATATTCAGTTACAGTTGTTTGACAGTATGGTTAAACCAATAATATTATTGTATTATTGTATGGGTCGGAGATGATGGGATATAAAAATAATTCTATTATTTCTCAGTTAAAATTGAAATTTAATAAATATATACTTAAACGTAAGATGTCAGCTCCTTCGGTGATGGTCTTGGGAGAATAAGGTGCATTTCCTATTGAAAATGATATTACTCATAAAATGTGAACTTTCTAGAGTAAACTAGTAAAAGGTAACAAGAGGACCATGATGGCCCTGAGTTGCTCACCAGAAACAACTGCTTTTCACTGTTGGAATGTCAATATATACTAATATTAAATTTGAGCAAGAATATGTTTAAACAGTAATTTGAAGAAATGCCATGACCTGGGGCATTTAAGTTTTAGCTTAAACGGGGCCAATCAAATTTATATGAGCAAACTTGATACAACACTACCCAAGAATACTACAGTCAAAGTTTGGTGATCATCCATCAATTAGTTCTATAGGAGAATATGTTTAAAGGTTTTTCTATTTTTAGCCCTTGAGACCCATAAAAGGGGCCAATCAAAAATAATATTAGCAAACTTGATAAAGTACTTCCTAAGAATGCTACAGACAAAGTTTGGTGATCATCCATCAATTAGTTCTGTAGAAATAGACGTTTAAAGGTTTTTCTATTTTTAGCTTTAGCGGCCCCTAAAAGGGGCCAATCAAATTCATATGAGCAAACTTGATAAAAGACTATCCAAGAAAGCTACAGACAAAGTTTGGTGATCATCTATCCATTAGTTCTGTAGAAGAAGATGTTTCAAGGTTTTTCTATTTTTAGCTTTAGCGGCCCCTAAAAGGGGCCAATCAAATTAATATAAGCATACTTGATAAAAGACTTCCTAAGAATGCTACATACAAAGTTTGGTGATCATCTATCCATGAGTTCTGTAGAAGAAGATGTTTCAAGGTTTTTCTATTTTTAGCCCTAGAGACCCCTAAAAGGGGCCAATCAAATTAATATAAGCAAACTTGATAAAAGACTTCCCAAGAATGCTACAGACAAAGTTTGGTTATCATCCATCAATTAGTTCTGTAGAAGAAGATGTTTAAAGGTTTTTTCTATTTTAAGCTCTGCTGAAGGGGCAAATTGGATTGACATGAGCAAATTCAAGTGTGACTGTCACAAGGATGCTACAGACCAAATTTTAGTAAATCTGCTAAGTAGTTTCAGAGATAAAGACGATTGTTGGCATATGACGACGGACGCCGGAGCATCCTCCTTTGATACTCATAACTCACCCTGAACATTCGGCTCTGGTGAGCTAAAAATGATAAAATATGTGCTTCTTTGTATCGCACTATGTATTATCTTCACTACATTGTCAGTGGATCGAGAAAGTAAAATCTACTTTGAATAATATTGGTTGTTCTGATTTTTGGATAACTGAGAATGTTACAAATTTTAATAACTTTAAACATCTAATAAAGTCACAATTACGCAATCTGTTTTTACAGGTATGGAATAGTGATGTTTTCTGCTAAATGTTTAAATTATAGAATATATAAAACTTAATTTAAAAATTATTTACTATGTTTACCAAGTAATCTAGCAATTACTCTTTGTAAATTTAGATGTCCTAATTCTGATCTTCCTATTAAGAAAGGTCGCTATTTTGGTATTGAAAGAGAAAATAAAACCTGCTCACTTTGTAATTAGCAAGAAGTAAAAAGTATATCAGTAATTAATATTCAAGGTTTCCTAGTATTTTAAATTTTCCGGCTTTAATGTGTAGTAATAACAAAACTACTATATTTAATTTAAGCAATACTGTTGAAATTTCGCTAAGTCATCTTCCTTATTTACTTGTATGCCATGTTTGTATTATTAATTGTTGTATTGTTTGTTTGTTTGTTTGTTCACTCTTATCCCCTCAAAGGCCGTGAGTTTTTGTTTATAGAAAATAAATAAAAATAAACCAAAATATTTTCTTAGTAATGGCATATTTTTATGTGACCAGTGTTTTTAAAATTGGTCAGAATTGACATATTCATGTACCAAAACAACAAGGTTTTTGTTCAAAATATTTTAAATCTATAGATTTTTAAGAAAAAACAGAACAACATTTTACAAACTTCTGCAAAAAGCAACAATAAACCGTTAAATTTGTGCATACGTCTGAAACAATCGTAATTTTCTAAATGTTCTTGTTCGTTGAAAAAATAAATTTTGAGGTACAATGTAAAGATACTTTTAATATTAAAAATTATGCAAAATAACATGTAGAAATTTTTACTGAAACATGAAAAAACTGAAATAAAACACCATTACCGCGATTTAAATGATCACATAATGTTTTCAAAATGGCCGACATATGGTCTACGTCTGGCTCATTTAAACTGATTTTGACAAAATATATTGTTGTTTCCTTGTCTCATACAGCAGAAAATACCTATATGTTACAGCTAATGATAAATTTTGTACCATAAGTCTTATGTGTTGTTTTCTTTCTTGCTTCAAAGCGTTAAGTACCGTGAACTAAGAGGAGCACAGTATACATATTAAATATCAATGACCACCGTGGCAGAGTCAATTTTGACCCCAGGGCTTTCATTTGAACAAACTTGATAGACATCCATTAGAAGATGTTTCATGCTTTACATCTAAGCTTTAGGCTGCTTTTTGGGTTTTTTAAAAAGAATATTCTTTAAGGTTATACTATATACACATCAGGCAAATGGGTCAAAGACAGAAATGGCCGGGTTGCATTTGTGTACCAAATATCATGAGGCTGTGATGTTATGAAAATGTTATACCATTCGAAAATTTGTCGAAAATTTAACTAAGTTGTTAAACAGAAATTTGATGAGCGACAGACCTGAAATCGAATCCCACTGAGAGTATAGGACCATTATGTAAATGCTGTATACCAAATATCAAGAGGCTGTGATAAGAAATTACCGAAACTTTCCTACCCTTCACCATTTATGTTGAAAGTTTAACTTAAAGTCAGTACACAGGAAGTGGATGAGCGCCAGACCTGAAACCAAATCTCACAGTATGGGACCACAGTTTAATGCTATATACAAAATATCAAGAGGCTGTGATACGCAGGACTGTTAGGAAATGTTCCTTTTATTGACCAAAAATGTTGAGGATTTAAATAAGTCATAACAGGAAATGGATGAGCAGCAGACCTGAAATCTAATGCCACGGTATGGGACCATGTGTTAATGCTGTATAACAAATATTAAGAGGCTGTGATAATAGGTTGCCGAAAAAACTGTTACGAAAATATTTCCAACGGCCGCCCGCCTATTATCCGCCCGCTCGCTGCCCGACATTCACCATACTATAACCCGGGTTTGTGCCAAAAATCAATGACCCCACGTTGCGTCGGCTAAAATTTTTACCAAAGGGCTTTTATTCAAACAAACTTCGTAGACACTGACTACAAGATGTTTCATGCCAAATATCTTTGGGTCTTTCAAAAGAAGTGTTAATAAGTGTTTTCCTTCTATTGCCATGGCAACCAGAGAACCAGAGTTCAGCATGGAATTAAATTCTTTGAAATTTTTTTAAAGGTAACTACCAAAGGAATGTTCTTGTGAAGTTTGGATGAAATTGGCATAGAGGTTTATGAGGAGATGTCGTTTAAACTAAAAGTTTACGGACGGACGCTGGACGAACTGTGATCACAAAAGCTAGCCTTGTCACTTTGTGACAGGTGAGCTAAAAAAAAACACACCAAAAAACAACAAAACAAAAAAATAATGCCTCAAAAAAGCGACAAACAAACATTTTTTAAAACATATATGTACCTGGATTCGAAACCCGTAACTTTTCCTGTGCAAACATCTTGTCATTGCTTCACAGACTTCCAATATAGTAATCAGGATTAATTCAAAACCAAACCAAAATGTTCTAAATATAGATAATTTATTATGTACAGTAGGACTCGTCATTTGGTAATTCTAAGAGTAACAGAAAAATACAAACTATAAGCAGACTTAAAATGATGTAACTGATATGATATATTTATACAATGATTGATTGATCGTAATGATTGAATGAAATGGCAAGTTCTTTTTTGCTGAGCAAACGAACAAAATATGATCGTGTCGTTTTATATTAATTGAAACTTTTATGCCAATCCATGCAATGGTATAAAATTCATTTCGGGTTCACAAGTCTCTACATTTTAGGAAGAAAACATTTAATACTTCATTGTTCATGATGACACCACTTCTGTAATTATTAATGAAAATAACTACTCCTGTGATAAAATAATATCATTAATAATAATTTTTCATTTAACTTCGAGTAAATGAACATCAATTAAGCCCATATCAGCGACAGTTTTTTCACACTTGCTGCTCCCAAAAAGATGAGTTATCTCCATGTGATTCCATTCTTACAACCTAATAAGTGACGTTATTAATGTCCAACAGGATTTTACAAAATAACAACTTGTCTTTACATCACACCCTTGAAACACAAAGGTAGTTTACAGTTTATTCAGTGTTAAAATTCTTCAAAATATGCGGTAGTATTTTGTCAGTTTTATTCGATGTATGCAAACTCGAACTATATACTTGTTATGTCTTTGCACATTCTGTTACTAAACGCTTACTTATTTTGTTTGTTTTTTTATTGGTTCAATCGGACAGAAAAAAATAACATTTTCAAAGTAATAATATAGTTATCAGGTCAACTACTTGATTCTACCCACAAGCTCCTCCTAAACAACTTTAGTTTTAATATAACCGGAGGATGATAAGTTATAAGTGTGTTGACTGATGATGGCCATTTTAGCAGTTGACATTGGGGGCTGACTGGGCAGTTTGTTAAAACGTTAATTGTCTGAATTGATATTTGAGTGTTTTCTGTAGTCTGGACAAACTTTAATCCATAAAACAAAGTTAAATCCACTAATAGCAAATATCAGCAAAAAAAAAAGAAGCAAAATTTAGATATTTGACCTTCACGGTCAAGGTCATTTATGAATTTCAAGGTTATGAAGATCAAGGTTAGTCTGGTTTTCTTAAAGGTTCTGTCCTAAATGTTGTTGTGACCAAGTATAAAGACAGTATACCACCAAGTACTTAAAAAGTTATGATGAAGGTACAAGTTTGCGAAAGGCAACGGGCAATGCCGACATAACTTAAACAATACAATTTTGTTTTTCATAAAAAAAAGGTCGAGCTAAAAATAATTAAAAGACCATTTTAAAACCTTTTGTTATAATAAGATAACATTTAAATTAATGAAGGTAATAGAAGTGACGGAAACCTTTATCTGTACATCTGAATGATCTTTATAAAATTCCTAGTCTTGAAACAAATCAGGCAGTAACTATTGAAAGAAAACATCACTTTATGCTTAATCTAACAATAAAACATGTACACGTACATGACCAGTGCTAATAAATTTACAAAGCACCCAGCAGCGTCTTTTAACCTCTATCTAAATAAATTGTCATTTTCAAGCTAACAGCAGCATCTACTTTGGATTCAATGTTTGGAATTTCTCTAGTTACATGGGCGTCTAAGTCAAATGCAAGAACATGTTGAGACACTGTTTTCTTCCCTCTAACTAAAATCAAACGACCATTATAAATACAGGCACCAAAATCATCACCCATGCGTGATGCCCACATGTCATAGTGACAGTAACCACCAATTTTACCATGTTGTTCAATCAATGTTCCGTTATTTGAAACTTTTAGTATATTCACTCCCTCCTTATCTACAATAAAAACCATGTCCTTGTGCGGCACCGCGACAGAACACAAGAAAGGCAGGTCTGTGTCCTGAACATTTTCCAGGGATTTTGTTATAACATTAAATCTAACAATAGTTGCATGCTTCTTTTGAGATGCATCAGTAGTATATGGCTTAATCATATAAATGTTTTCACCAATCAAATAAGCACAAGTCCTGTTTTGCACAATTTCTTTCCTGGCATTTTCAGAATAAAGAACCTCCATACTATCACTATATGATGTACATTTTTCTATCAGTACCTTTTCTTTTCCCACAACAACACTGTAAATAGAGTGTAAATCTGGGTCATAAAGGAGACAGTTATTTGTTGAAGGTGCAGAATGCATTGGGCCACTACTCCATGTGCAAGTGTCACCATTAAAATAAAACAGCTGTGTTCCAGTTGAAAGCACAATTTCTGATCGACTAAGGTTGCATGCTGCTATGCTTTCTGGTCGTCGCTTTAGATTTTTAAGCTTGTCATTCCGTGATTCTCGAATCATCGTATATTGTCCAGAATAGTCGCAACCATCAAAAAGTCTCGAGAACTCAGTAAACAGTATGCTGGTAGGGTAGCAGACTGCCATAACATCAACATATCTATGTCCTACTCTATGAGATGACTTATCCTCACCAATATACTCCCATTGCCTACCTGGTCTTGCAATATATTCTAAGCATTTAGAAGTCACATCTTGTAGTCCTGCATCATTCTGGATAACTGGATGACATAAAAACACTTCTTTCATATACTTTTCTGTTAAAGCCAAATAGTTCAGCTTTGAAATTAAAGTTTTACCATGCTGCTTTCTATTTTCCTCATCAAACTCAATCCAATTCAGTAGCGAGTTACATATGTCATCTTCACTAGAAACGTTCAGTGGAAAGTCCAGCAGTTCCATCAAATTTTTGTAAGTCAAGATCTGTACAAATATTTCTAGCTCCCGAACATTTTGAAACTGGCAAGAGATCCAGTAAAGAAGCCTGCTTGAAATCTCATGAATATCGAGATCATTGCTTAATTTAAGCAGCTCAAAATGTTCAGTGTCAGAGAACTCTCCCATATGGTTTTCAATAAACTGTATACAATCTTTTTCCAGAAATGATATCTGCAGATAAGAGGCCGAATACAGAAGATCAAGTATATTCTTCTTATTCAAAACGCATTTACCTGTATACATGACCTTTAAGATGTTTTTAAACTCTTTTTCATCTAATGCAGCTAGCTCTACCATGCCATCTTGAACTTCACTCATTCCTGACGAAAACAATGCTTGGAAATAGGAGCTTGACGCTGCTAGCACAATTTTGTGACACTTGAAAACCTTCTTCCCTACTCGTACGTCAATGTCAGAATATTCTTCATTATTCAGGAATTTTCCCATTGCCTTCAGTACCTGGTTTTCGTGTTGTTTAGTTTTGGCAGGGACCTGTAATAAGCAATCATTTTTTTTATAATATGTCTTAAATAGTTGCAATTAATTACTTTTTTTCTTTGTTTAATCGTTGGGCACTTTGGTTAGGTTTTATGTCACAACAAAACAGTAGTATTGATGGAGAATGAAGACCTCAGGAGCCACTTCGTGGATTATTTTATGGCCGAGCTAACAAATCAGTAGAACCACTGACATTTCGTAAACTAGCTAGATAGATAAACTTAAGTTACGTATAAACCAATACAGTGTGGTAGCTATCCTTGTTCTACCTTAACACTAGAACTCCGCGAGTCGGATGTGTCGCCTTGTGAACAATATAGTTTAGGAGAAATGGCCAGGACAAAAATGAAATATGAAAACTAACAAAGGGAAATAACTCAAAAAATAATAAGTACAGAGCAGCAGTTTCTGTGCACTGCACTTCTTATTAATAAGATCTATCATTCTATGAAGTTTCAAGTCCATATCTTTTATAATTTATGAGAAATAGCCTGGACAAAAATAAAGTATGAAAATAAATTAAGGGTAATAACTCACAAATAAGAAGTGCAGAGTACCCGTTCTTGTACACTGCACTTTTTTTTAATAAGATCTATCATTCTATGAAGTTTCAAGTCCATAGCTTTCATACTTGAGGAGAAATTACCAGGACAAAAATAAAGTAAGAAAATCAACAAAGGGCAATAACTCAAAAAATAAGAAATGCAGAGTATCAGTTCTTATGCACTGCACTTCTTCTTAATGAGATCTATCATCCTATGAAGTTTCAAGTCTATAGCTTTTACACTTTCGGAGAAATGGCCCGGACAAAAATAAAGTATGAAAATTAACAAAGGGCAATAACTCAAAAAATAAGAAATGCAGAGTACCAATTCTTGTGCACTGCACTTCTTCTTTATGAGATTTATCATCCTATGAAGTTTCAAGTCCATAGCTTTTTTAGTTGAAGAGAAATGGTCCGGACAAAATTAAAGTATGAAAATAAACAAAGGGCAATAACTCAAAAAATAAGAAATACAGAGTACCTGTTCTTGTGCACTGCACTTTTTCTTAATGAGATCTATTATCCTATGAAGTTTCAAGTCCATGGCTTTTATACATTAGGAGAAATGGCCCAGACAAAAATAAAGTATGAAAATTAACAAAGGGCAATAACTCAAAAATTAGGAAGTGCAGAGTACAGGTTCTTGTGCACTGCAGATCTATCATCCTATGAAGTTTCAAGTCCATAGCTTTTTTAGTTGAAGAGAAATGGCCCGGACAAAATTAAAGTATGAAAATTAACAAAGGGCAATAACTCAAAAATTAAGAACTGCAGAGTACCGGTACTTGTGCACTGCATTTCGGGTTATTGAAAGAAGCATGCATACCAAGTTTGAAGTCAATCAGACTTATAGTGACTGAGTTATGCTCCGGACAAGCTTTAGGGGACGCTGACACCGACAACGACACGGACAACGACGCCACCGACAAAAGTAACCCCTATATGTCGCCTTTTCAAGGCGACACAAAAACTTGGAAGTAATGTAATGAATCTCCCCAATAACAAATATGTAGCAGATCGTTACCTGTCTACTTCCTTGTAATTCACTGCTCCAGCAGGTAAATTTGTGTTTCTTAAACACGTGTACGGATGGTGCTGTAATACCTTTTATTTTTATTTCATGGTACAACAACAGGTGACGTATTGCAGGCAGTGTTTTCTGAAGACAGAAATATTTTAAATAATTTGTCATATCAGGAAACAATTCTTTGTTTATCAGAAAAAAGACATGTTCGATACAAAAATATCCCAAAATGCATTATTTTAGGAACATACATCTATTTTTGACCAACAAACTAAATGATTTTAGAAATAAATGAACAAGTGCATGATCTATGTACATTTCATATGTAATGAGATTATCAAGAAGAAATCATATCTGTATAAATATATTCCTTACAGACCAGCTCAGGATAATCATTTGTTTTATTTAAAAAATAATATATCCCAAGCTGTGATTTTATCGCTCAATAACATCACTGGAGTTCGGATGCGAGGAATTATATCACGAGGGTGTAGCCCGAGTGATATAATGATGCACATCAGAACGACAAACAGTGATGTTATCCAGCGATAAAATCACAGATTTGGATATATTATTTCGATTCTAACACGACATAAACAAATTAACGCTGCCGTACCTGCTATTAAGCAAAATTATACCGTCGGGTTTTATAGTGGTTACGTCACATGTATAATGATTACGTCACATGTCTAAATGTAGAACGTCAAACAGTGACTCTATTGCATATTCTTACACGACTCGCATTTTTCCCTATTGAACATAGAAGAACCGAAAGTGTGTGTTACTATGCTATAAAATCACTGTTTGACGTTCTATATTTAGACATGTGACATAATCATTATACACGTGACGTAACCACTTAAAATGTGACGTGCTGACAATAAGTACGGGAACAAATCAGGCGCAATTAAGCTAAAACTCTCAACCCAGAGATGATGGGTTCGAGCCCTACTCGGGTCACGACCATGTTTCTTCATATGACACCAGTACTGGTTGGTTCCAGGAAGCGGACTTGAAAGTGATTAATATAAGTTGCAAGAACTTGTTTTGCAATCGAGCGTAAATAAATATGTTTAAACCAACATGTTTTATAACAATCATTAAATGCATGTAGAAATTTCACAATGAGCAAGTGTTTACAAATGATGTCCAAGTTTGACCTTGTCCTTTGACCTAGAGACCTGGTTTTTGTGCACTCGGTAGTCATTCATGTCGAGTAAGACTTAAAGATACCTTCATGTATTTTAAAGCTATGATCAGAACTATTTTTTTCATTATCCCTGATAACCTACACCCTACATGTACATGTTTTAACTTGAATTCCAATTATGCTCTAATTAGGGCTGTCATTGATGGAAAAATTTGTATCAATATATCGAGCAGGACAAATATCTACTATATATCGATATATTGACTTTGACATTAAAAACAATGTATAACATTTAATATGTGTTATAAATTGGGATTATGGTATTATGCATGCTTTATTAGACAAATTGCAAATACTTTAAACTAATAGAAAGTTTGTTGTTTTGGTCACTGACATTTGTAAATGGAGATTTAATTTCAAGTCAGCCTAGAAAACTGGAAAAAAATGACCTCTTATTACGCTAAAAAAAGAGGTATATTCACTAACAGAAATAAATTTTAGCTTGTATCGAAATTTGAAAGTGTAAATCGATATTGTATCGGATGATGAATATCGATGATATATCGATATTGCAATATTCAATGACAGCCCTATGCTCTGTGCATGACTTTGACCTTGCCTAGAGAGACCTGAATTTAGCATGGCATACTCAGCCTCTCAATGCTGGACAATTATGCCATATAATATTATAATTAAACCTTTAATACGTGTAAAAGTTTTACTTCTGGCAAGCATTTTGTATCAAATATTCCTAAAATCCATTCATCATGAACTGGCATCCGGAACGTTATGGCATGTATGATTAATTTATTTAATTTCTGGAAACCATTAAAACAAACTTTCTGACAAATTAATTGTCAGGATATATGGGCTGAAAATACTACCTCTAGCACGTTAACAAAGTTTTTCCATATTTCCATCTTAACAACCTTTCTGATCATTTTACATGACATTTTGATTGAAACAGTAGCCTCTAGAGTGATAACATGTATTTCCCATATTTGGGCTGTGTGACCTACTTTTTTATCCCAAATTACCCATACTCAAACTTGGGCTAGAAATAATCTAAACAACCATTCTGACCAATTTCTAGGATATTTGGACTGGAAGGAAGGAAGGAATGAATGAAGGGAAGAAGAGGGAGGGGAGGGAGGGAGGAAGGAAGGAAGGAAGGAAGGAAGGAAGGAAGGAAGGAAGGAACAAATAACAGACACCATGCTAAAGCTCACCTCTGAGCTCTTGTGAGCTCACAAGTAATTGGACTATTTATAATTCATGTTTCTATTACCCTGTAGTTTTCTTGGTCACCATATATGTATACAAATGTATTTCAGATTCAAAGTCATATAAGAATCTTACACCGGCTGCCAGTACAGACCGGACTAAATAGCTCTAGGGTAACTGTTTACGGCGGTAACGAGGCTCTGCCAAGTTTCTGCTAAACAGTTACCCGAGAGATAGATATTCCCGTCTGTACCGACAGCCAGTGTTTGATTCTTTTTCTTGCATATTAAATGTCATTTATTCTCGGAACAGAAATAACGAACATGATATTTTCTTTAAGCACTTTCTTCTTATAGTAGCGTATGAACCTACAAACTTCATTTATAACAAAAAAATGACGTCATCCTTATAACGCAATTCATTCATTACAGGCATACGGCAATGACGTCACTTAATGCACGCGACGTGTCTTACATGGGGGGGTGTAAGACAGAGTTTTCTAGCACTGCCGAAACGGTAGATAATCCTGTCTGATATGCAAGAAATCCCTTGAATACATCTGGAATTATGTTTCAGACAGGAAAAATGCCACAGGCCAACTAGCATACTGCCAAACAACTGAATGACGCTTATATCCCTTAGTTACAAACTGAGTATCTTTGAAAATCACAAAAACACTATCAGTTTTATAATATACCTTGAGCAGTGGTAAATGGTGATCTTCACAAACTGTGACATCTAACTTTGCTTGCAACATTTCTGGCTCTATTTTACCATCCTGGCACAAAATGGAATTAAAAATAAAGATTAGATTCATATTAATATAGCAACTATACAATCATTTACATTTATTTCCATGTTCTATCAAAATCAAACATACAATTTTAAATTATAGGTTATCTAAAACATAACAACCTTTTTATAATTTATCCCAAATTATTAAAAGTGGCTTTCAGCTTTCCTGAAGGTTAAATATGTTATTTTTAGACAAATTGTTTCATATAATTGTCATTCAAAAAGAATTAAGATGGAAAATGAAATATGCCAACTTTAAAACACATAAACAATAAGGAAACTCCTCAATTACTCCCATCTACCAGCCCACTCTCTATATCTTAATTAGTAAATTTGTTTCCCAGATGTGCTATTTAAAGAAACTAACATCATGCTCTCAAGGAGAGAGTTTCTAAAAAGCTTCTAGCTTTCTACTCAATCCTTTTTGCATTTTATTGTAATATATTGTGTATATATATTTAACTGAAATAAAATATTGTTTAAACCAAATAGCTCTCTGGATGCTGTTTTGAAGACAGCTTAATTAACAGTGTTATGTTTTTCATTTACTTTTCTTACATAAAATCACCGAAATAAACACAGCATAAAATAAATTCTGAAGGCCACTTTAAACATTCCTTGCATGAAAAACTCACTTACCAATTATTTTTATTAAATAGAAAAAAAAAAAATATCTGTCATATGTTGCAGTTCGGACCGGAATATCCGTCCCGAGGAGACCCACCCATTGGGCGGTAATGCCTCGTTACCATCCCATGGGCAGGTTCCCGAGGAATGGATATTCCGATCTGAACCACAAAGATATGTCAGATATTTTTTCTTGCATATTCTGCCGTATTATTTCATATTTAAAATGGTTTACCTCAATATGATACATGTTCATGGAAATTAAAGTCATTTCATCCATAACTATTTTCTTACAATAGCGTATGAACTTACAACTTCAATAACAACGGCGAAATGACGTCATCCTAGACGCCATTTTAACGCGGTTCATTCATAAAGTGCGCTAAAATGACGTTGTTGTTTGGCACACGACTCATCTGGCACCCCCCATGCCAGATGAAATTTCCGGCATGGGTAAAACTCATGGAAATGCCAGTCTGCTATGTAAACATTGTATTGCATAATATTATATTTTGACATGACATCATTTACATTATACAAACATAGTGTTAAAGCTACATGCCTCCAGATGAGTCAAAATATTTCATTAAAATAAAACTTGATAAAAATGTACTAATATGTAAGGAAAAGTGACTGATGTTTTCAGTATTTACAATTATATTTCTACTGCGTTACTAATGCAGTAAAGGCTATTTATGCATAATATTATTTTGACAACATTTTGATAATTTATGTGGTTTGTTAATGCCATTGATAATGTGTCAATTGCTTCCTTTTGGTTACTACAAATACATTTTCAAAATTTTCATGAAAATAAGCATAAATATGGAGGAATGCGGCTTTAAGATGCACTAAATGCTAGTGTTACACTATAGGTGTGTCAATGATAAATGATTCTTTTGCACTTAAAACAGTCTTTATTTTGAGTATGTGATAAATAGAATATTATATATATCCTCTATTTATCGAACTAATTGAAAAATATTTATCAAAATCTGAAAGGTTTACTTACAATCAATTCCTGTACAACACTTGTAGCTTTAGCTCTTTGACTAGCAGGACATGATGTAACACATTTTTGTAAAAAATCTTTGCAACTTGATATGTCTTTCTTTAAACTTGTATGGTCTATGGCACCTGAAAGAAGATAATAAGGAGTTCTCTCTTTATAAATACAACACAATAATATAATCTCTCAGAAATTGGATACAAATATCATAGGTGAAATTTAGTGGTAGTAACAAGTGCAACATCTTTCAAACTCCTTTTAGTACAAAAAAATATACTGCATTCCTAGAAACTTTCGCTGATAAAATATTAGCTTGTTTTATAAGGATGGTGATTATGTGGAGAAAAACTTTTGCCCAATCATAGTGAAGGACAAAGAACACCAACAAAAAGGACAAACAAGACATGCCCACAAGCAGAATGTCGAGCTTGCTCGTCTTAATTCAAACCTGAACCTATAAGCTTTAGATCAAGGAGAAAGATGTAAACATATTTGAGAAGTGAGCAACAAATATTCTTTGCACAACACATATTCTTTACATCCAAGGCAAAATCTTGACATTGCATCATCTTAGGTGACCTTGACCGCTGACCTGGTGACCTGGTTCATGCCCATGACACAAAATCTCATAATGAACATTTGTGCCTAAACTTTAGGGCCATAATGGTCCAAATATCACTCACCTGAATATGAATACTCTCCATGGCAAGGATCAAGTAATATTGTAAACTAGAAACAAAAGCAGATATTACATCTAAATCTTAAACTGATATCACATGTAAATAGTGCACATGTTAAAACATTTCTGATTGCTTTGCTTAGGGAAAACAGACACTTGGGCTTATCAGCAATAAATGTGGTCAAGATGTGTATTCCTGCATTAAAATAATATTATATGATTATTGATGTGTTAAATTTATATAATGTTTATAATTTTCATATATGTTTGTATATTAGTCAAGTATTAATAAAAATAATTGCCTACTGACTGTATAGAATGATGTTGCTGATAGAAATTGAGTTCACTTAACATTTTTCAAAATTAATAACTCTACAAGAAATTATTATGTCATTGTTATGCAAGCTATGCTAAAATTTCTATATGACTTTGCATAGAAAACTAAGAACTAAAATACATGTATGCAAGTTAATCATTTTTACTTCGGCTGAGTTTCCTTTTGTTCTTTCTCTTGTTACAAGTATTTATAAAGTCAAACACAGCTGAGGAGGAATATTATAGTACAAAAGTGCTCTTATAAAAAGAAATTCTTTTAACAAATAAAATTCAAATTTTATATATTTGCCCTTGATGGTCAAGGCCATTCAAAGGTCAGGGTCATATTTATCATCTTGTCAGTTAAGTAATTAGTGCTCTTTTGTCCACTCTGAGAATCAATCAAATCTATAAATTAATAACAAAGTCATGACAATTTAAGCAATTTTCAATAATTTGACCTGGACAGTCAATGTTAAATTAAGGTCAAGGTCAAATAAGAATAATTCAGCATGTCAGTTTTATCATATCTGTTCTTACTGTTCTGTGAAAATATGAATATTTTGGGATTATGTTTCAACAACACAGTATAAGTATAGTATATAGCTTTACTGGTGGAGGAAGACCTCAGGTGCCCTTCATTGCATTATTTAAGGGCATGAACGTGCACCGTAGTAAAACCATTGACATTCCATCAGCTAGTAGGGTAGCTTCCTCACATGAAAGAATTCAATGTCCCTGTCCAAGTATAAATTAAATATGTACATAAATAACTAAATTATGATAATTTAACCAAATCTAATAATTTGACCTTGAAGATCAAGGCCATTTAAAGCTCAATTTCAAGGTCAGATCAACTTTATAGAAGGTCTTGTCCAAAATGTTGTATTGTCCAAGTATGAAGATAATTCATTAATTTATTACCAAGTTACTTTCAATTGTAGCAAAAATCAGTGAAAATTCAATAATTTAAACTTCAAGGTCTAAGTCATTTGCGATCAATTAAGTTTAATATACACGGCAGTCTAGTTCTAAAGAATGTTGAGCTTGAATATGAAGTCAATCCATTAATTAATAACAAAGTTATAGCCAGTAACAGCAAAAAAAACTTCAATATTTTGGCCTTCAAAGTCAAGGTCATATATGACTAAGGATCAAGTTTTGTCTGGATTAGTTGAAGGTATTTCCTAAAAGATTGTTGTGTTAAAGTTTGAAGATAATCTTTTCAAAATTAACTAAGTTATAGCAACTACTAGCAAATCTTAAGCAAAAATCAAGTAAAATTTAAAAATTTTAAAAATCTGGTCTACTTTAAAGTCTTGTACCAAGGGTTGGTGTGGCCATTGAGTATGAAGACAATACACCAAGAACTTGCTAAAAATGAGCCACCATTCTGCCAAAATCCATGTCACAGTTATAGGGCTTGGAAATTGACCTTTTTAATGCTCTCAAATAAGGGTGTGAAGTTTCAACTCATTCCCTTCAGTTGTTTTTGAGATCCATTAAACCAATGTGCATGCAAAATTTTAACCAAAGTGTGACCCTGACATGATGGACACCTGGGTGAGAACAACAGCTCTCCCTATCTTTGAATAGTTGAGCTAATAAATGAATTGCTGGCCCATAATGGGTCTTTAAGCTCAAATGGATAAAGACATGTATACATAAAAAAATACCTGTATATATTACTTACCTGAGGTGCTGGTACTAGGACCTGGTTCTGACATATTTTCAAAGCAGACGTTTCACCAAGTATATCAAAACTGTTAATAAACACCTCAAACAAGTAGCCTCTGCATTACTATTTGAACTGAAAAAATAGCAAAATCAACACTATATTGTTAACCATACACTGGGTATATCATAACTATGTTCACTTGTTAATGTAAGACATGACGTATTAAATTCTATCTGTCAGAGAATAGCAAGTTCAAGTATAAAACTCTTGTGACAGTAAGACATTCACAGATTACTGGAAAATTATAGCATGAATCGATATGTATTTTACTATTATTTTATCGAATAAATAGAACTAATAATTACAATTACCATTTGTATGTTTTTTATTATTAAGGGTGGTGCCTTTAAGTACCATAGTATTCACTATTTCTGTAAATTTCTGAGCATGAATAGGACTTACTTTCACTGACTTATATATAAACTGGTATTGACTGCTGCATTTTTTACATGTTTATCAAAGTTTAAGCCAACGAATATGAATTCATTGAGGTCAAATTTCTGTGTTCATTATTAATGCTTTATAAGCAAATCATTACATGTCTAAATTATCATGATATAGTACAGATATACACTAACTACCAAAAATGTTAAGCTTATACACTGTACCTTTTTTGTTCATGACATATTGGTGTGGATGCTAATACTGTCTAAAGACAAATTAAAACTTGTATAAATTTATCATTGAAATGGGGCAAATTGTCACTCAATTATTGTAACTTTTAGTCAACTTTAATTCATTTTTCATTTTACAATTCCTTCCTTTCAAAAGTGTCATTTGGTGCATTTATTTCATGCACCACTCCTTTTTTCAATCATAACACCTTAAAGATTGTTCTTAAGTCCATAAGTTCCAATTGTTTCATTATCACAATACCTTGCTGAGTATCATTTAGTTACATTTAAAATGACATCGCCCATCTAGAAATGACATTGAAAAATCTATTTATTTTTTCAATTGTTTTTTATTTGATTTCCTTTTATGGGGAAGTGGGAAGTCAAAGGCTTGGTCCGCAAAGCAGGTCCAGGCTTTGGCTTGCCCGCTAAAGACTACATGTGAATATTTAAAAGGAAATCAAATAAAAAAAAAAAATATATAAATATAGGTTTCTATACCCATCTGTGAAATTTTCAGTGTCATACATTATCTTGTTGGGCGCCACCATTTTAATGCAACTAAATGATGATAGGCAGGGTATTCCGACAACAGAACAATCACAACTTTTCTGCTCAATAATAATAGTCCAAGTACAAACGAAAGTGGTGCATGAAATACCAAATAACATTTTTAAACGGAATATGTAAAATAAAAAATGAATAATTATTTTATCATAGGATTTGCCTACTGTCATATTAAATATATGTATATTGTAGTCTATAGCCCTGCAACCCCATCCCTGGGTAAGCCAAAGTCTGGGCCGCTTTGCGTCCTGGCCTTTGACTTCCCCTTGTAGTCCGTAAATTTATGGACAATCTATGGACAATCTATAAATTAATAATAATTTTATAGATTTTTTTTAACTGTAAATTTATCGATATTATACTATTACGGAAAGAGTATAAGTTGTATTTAAATTCAAAACTGCAGGTTGGAAAGAAGAAGATTATTGATTATATGATCAAATGTAACAGTATGGTAAATTCAGAATAATTTGAATACTTTCAATTTTCACTTTTAACAAAAATTTCAAAGTCATCATACAAAGATAAATCTTATCTCATTACCTCTGTTTATATAAACAATCAATATAACAACTTAGTTTTAAGCTGCGGATTTTAGTATAAAACTATATACGACAAATTTAACATTGAATATCTGTAAATTTGTGAACGGAAAAATCTTAAAATTTCTAGACTATCCATAAATTTACGGAAGTCCATAAATAATATCATAATATCATCTGTTCATGACTCATTGATTTGTCAGTCAGTATATTTGTTTTAAAAAGTTTGCAAATACAAGAACGTAAGATTAAACTACAATGACATCACAAGGTACTTACACGAGAGAAGTGTAAAAATAATGTAATATTTACCATATTTTTGTTTTTCTTTAGACGAAAACGAAACTAGGAATTTCCGGGGTAAGTCCAGGATATTCTCCGCCTCTTTCCGTACCAAAATTAAAGTTTCGTTAGGGTACGGCTAATATTCAATAAAAGCCATAGGTTGGATATGGCTTGTATGTTAATTTCTTTTTCGTGAATATGCGAATGTTTGTTATACGTCCCATTCAGTTGTATATTTAGAATGAAAAACACATGAGAAGTGATTCTCATGCAGGCACTGCCTTACCCAGCAAACAAAAGACGTTGTACCAACGTTGTACTGACGTTAGACCCTGACGTTGGGTAAACGTTGGCAGAAGGTTGGATTTGAAAGTTTTTTAGACGTCAGAAACCGACGTCTATACAACGTCATAAAATGACCATAATCCAACCTTTTCTGACCATTATCTGACCATAATCCAACCTTTTCTGACCATTATTTGGACATAATCAAACCTTTTTCTGACCATAATCCAACCTTTTCTGACCATTATCTGACCATATGCCAACCTTATCTGACCATGATTTAACCTCATTCAAAACTTTTGGAATATGATTTTTTTTTCATTTTGAAGCTCTTTAATAGGGTTAATAAATAAGCATTCTTATAATTTTAGCAATTTATTTTATACTAAGAATCACAAGTACAAAACAAGAAATGTGGTACTATAACAAATGCAAGATTTACATAATATTTTTTGAAACTATTAAACTTGACGGTATGTACTTTAATAACGCTTCATGTATTAATTAAGCATGTTTTAGAAATAAGATAAACAAAATCCTTCTTGAATATTAACCCTGACATTTTATATAGCAAACATCCATGCATGTGTTTTTTCTTATATCACCACTGAACTGATCACTCTGAGTTTGGGATTTTTCAATCATCTATCCAACTCACTGATTGTATATTTGTCTTTGTATTTTATAACTGAATCTAGATCTGAATGTTAAATGGAACAATATTCTGAATATTTTGTTATAACTATAAATAGCAATGTTCATGTATCTTCATTAGTATTCTAGCTTCTTTCGTCCTCCTACACTTTGTCGATCTGGGGCATACTTTAAGCGTATCATTACCGTCTCCAACCTGAGATCTCATCACACTTTCTGAAATTAAAAAAAATAAAATAATCAGTTACAAGTGCAAGAAATAAATCACTTATACATATTATTATTAAACGAAATTCTAACAAACTACTTAAAAAGATACTTATTACTTTTAATTTAGTTTAAACCATGTAGTTTCGTGTACCTACTGTATATATCTATTAATTTTGATAAAAATGGCTTCGTGAATTTCATTATAAAATCAAGGGTAATTAGATCACTGTATTTTCTATAATATTTTGAAATATACCTGTCTCAAAATCTTGGTAGGTTTTCATTTTTCTTTTCCTCTAAATATTTTCATCTTCCTCCTGAACTTAAATTGACACAAGTTGAATTATCATAATCTTCACAATCTGAAAGACGAAATATAATCGTTTTAGAATTTAACCATGTGGTGGAAGGATGTTTGTCTAATACAATAGGCAAAATCCAATTACTATTAATCTTAGTTAACTCATAGGCGCATGAAAAACTGATATAACAAATACCAAAATGAAATTAATTCTACTCCCGCAAAAATTTATATTGTTATTTTTTATATTCAATGTACTTTGTACAAATGCTCATACAACATCAAAGAAATTCACATGTTACTGTCATTTTTATAGATATCATCTCTGCCCAGCATGATCTGGTCTGCTAAGTGTATATAGGACAGACTGGCTTAGTGTAAAAACGTTTTATGATACGAGCATACAACTTGTTGATAAGCAGGCTAATTAACAAACTATTACTTTTATTGATTTATAACTATGATAATGTGTTTTCTGATTGATAATATGTTGTTTGATTACATTAGTAAAAAGATAGCTAGTCAAATACAATGTGCTTTCAGATATATCTTACCAAAGTCGTATCATTTACATGTATCAAATGCCATGAATCATTATCATAATATAAGAAACACATGGTATGCTAACAGTATGGGTAAAGTACTTCAATTAACAACGAGTAGTTTAACACTACACAGATATCAAAATCAAACTGCATCTGATACATGTGTAAATGACTGGCCCCTCATATAAGGGAAATTCACGTTGATAAGAAATAAGAGGAAATTTTATTTACCAGCATTTGAATAATAAGAGTCTTACGTACTGCATTTAACGTTTTATTGATTTCAATTGCTAGGATATTTCCTACCATTGATTGTGCATTTATTTGGCATGGCGATATAGTGTGGGAAAAATGATCCGATAATACAGACTGTGCAAATGATGAAGTGTTCTTACGTGGAAACAAAAATATTTATCTCGCGAAATCACGTTACATTAAGTTTTACCAGTCAAACATTTCAATGATCAAATAACCATCGAATCCATGTAAACATGCGGTAAATTAGCATTGAAAAACAATATATAATGTTTGCCTACCTTTTTCTTTTGTTTGGAATATACAACTTTGTCTGTCAACCCGTCGTTTTTTTGTCCGCCAATACAATTGAATTTCAAATCCGATGAGTCGCAAATTCGAATTTACTAAATTATTTACCACTATAAAATGAAGCCCTCAAAAATGATAACAGCTTCATTGTAAATTATATAAACATTTCTTAGACTAATTCAAGGAGATAAGATATTATTTAAACGAAAATAGAGTAAATATATTTCATACTGATCTGCGACTATCCGTTTACAGAGCGCCACCTATCGAATATCGTACGTTAGCCACCCACGTGATACTGTTGTTTTGATGGAGAAAATAAATATATAATGTTCCCTTTCTAAACTTAAACTTAAAATTCTCGCTGTTTATGCTTTCATTTATATATATATTGGTTTCATAAATTAAATTCACCTTTTGTCAGATTACCGACCAAAACCCGACGTCGAGTCGACGTCAAAATGAAACGTCTGCTAGACGTCGGGGATTCGACGTCGATTTGACGTTGTATGAAGGTCACCGACGTCGCGACCAAAATTCAACGTTGATCCAACGTTGGGTCAACGTCGGGTGTTTGCTGGGTACTGGAATACTCTGCTTTCCACGCCCTTCCTCTCCATCTTTTTGACAATTCTTTTCTTTGTATATTTGTTTGTAGGCTACTCGATGGAAACGAGCACACGAAAGCTTCAATTCCGACCTTGGGCAATATCCCGACATCTTCCTTAATCTGAGATCGTATATGATATCACTTTGGCAGAAGCTACAGCCGGTATGCTGTATTTTAGATCCTGATATCTATATCATAATTTCATTAAATGAATGCATGACTGCAACTTACTAAAAATGTTATATTAGCATGCCGGGACTATATCAGCAATGGTATTTCAACATTATTCTTATTTAATTAAATTCCACCAAAACAGTTATATAAAAATTAAGTGACCATTTTCAGACCTCGATCCCCTACCCCAGACAGATATTTTGGATATTGTACGTAGTTAAAGCAAGAATACTGATGTGTGTTTCCTTATTATATAAGTCTATGTATTCCTAATATTTACAAGGAGGACCATAATTATCCAAAGGGGCATTAGATGTCCACATCGTGATCCCATACCGACCGGTATGTACTGGAAATGCAGTTTCAGAGATGGTCTTTTTTTTATATTTACCACAATGCAGTGCTATACGTCAGATATATAACATCAGCGCATTTTATGGCAGTTTCTTGGAAGACTTTTAAATATGTGGTGCTCTTCTGGGCTCCTTAGCGGTGGTCTTGTGTTGCGGGTTTTTGTTTGGGTTGCGTTCATCTAATGTCGCACTACCTTGTTGATCTTTGTGCTCATATTTTCTATCTCTACCCCAGTGATATTCTTGTGAGTCAGACTGCAGCCATTTATAATTTTTTAAAAGACCATCTGAGGATCTGTTTTTTGAATTTTGGTCACTTCGTCCCATTACAAAGCTCGCCTGTTAGTACAAAGAGAATTAAGTAACTGTAGTGTCCAAATTTTTATACATCTTTATACAAGTATATAGAGGATATATATCTCAATAATCTTACAAACACAGGCGACTACTTGAATAAACCGACTGAGGTTGTCCAAATGTAACTAAATGTTAATTAACGCTTTAAGTCGGTGCTGGGGGGGGGGTCTAAATAGTAGCTTGCACTTATCACTACCGTCCATAAATAGCTTCAGAGCTTCAGACAAGCAGATAATTTTCAAAGTTTTCTATTTTAGACCATTTTTCATTTTTGAACTGACATTATGTTTAATTATATTTGCCTCTTGCCTGAAAACATTTTCTAGATTTGATCAATTCATGCACATATACTTAAGGTTTGCATTTCAACTTAACCAAGATACCCACTGAATGATCAAATACATGTATACCTTTGCGTTCAATGAACTGTCATTAAGTCAAGTGAAAATATGGTATAGGCATTACTGCCTAAACATCATATAAGTTGTTACTTGCAACAAGATATATATCATTGTTAACAAGCGTGAGGACCAGCATGCATAATGATTGTACCTATATAAGCATTATATCAATGTTACTGAATAAAATGTAACTGTAAGCGGGTATTTTGTATTTTTTTACCTAAATAACATTCTATAGACGTAGTCATTCACGTGTGTCTTGTTTAATGATATACTAATTCTATCTTTCATGTTCATTGTAATACTAGGTGTCATTAATAGTTAGTACTGAATAATTTGAATATTGTCAGGTTTCATTCATTGTATTGTCTAATGTTTAAACTATTTATTTAACTGGTGGTTTATTAATTCTATTATACACAACAGCATCGGCAATTAAATACAGTGAGGTCGTGTGGCTAAATAGTGACTTCAATGGGGTATGTTTTTTTTCTGTTTCGTAAATGTTACTCTTCTTGATGTTTAAGTGTTCAATATTAGATAAAAAGCTTATTTGCTAATGCAGTGAACGCATGAATACTTCTAGAAAATAAAGATGCAGTTAATACATTTAATAAGCCAATTCCATATATCAATGAAGTGTTAGGCATACGACACACAACTGAGCTTCCCCTACTTTCCCCGTTTGCCTGCTCTTGTCCCTTTGGTACTGTTGTTGTCTTGGCTGCGTTCCACGAACATTGCTCTCCATTATTGATCTATATTGTCATAGAACGATATTTTTATGATATTTTTATGAAATGAAATTAATCACATCAGCACACTGAAGTTCACCGTCAAACAACCCTACAAACATTTGTATCTTAAATTCTTGATGTAAAACACTCATCATAAAACTTTTAAAAATACGTGTCACATGAACACTTAATTAACTTTACATTGATTCATCCCTTTAATATCTCTCAATTTTTTGAGTACATTGTAAATATAGATATAAGAAGTTTCCCTAAAATACTGAGCGCTATTGATAAATATATTGAACTTAATAGTATGCATATGAACACTACATACTCGTATACTAGTAAGTTAAAGTACGAAGAATAAATGAACAGAATTAAGAGTAATTGTATAAGTCAATACTGTTTATCAACGTTTCTCTTTAATGTAACATAATCTATAATATTTTGAGAGGGTAAGGCTGTTATCTGAGATACAGGGCATCTAGTATAAGTATGCCTTGTTTACATAACACACTATTACATATCTAATTTTTTATGCAAAACGAAAATGGATACATAGATTAATAATAAATAAATAAAACATAATAGCCTGAAAGCACAGGTGGCAATGTTATGATTTTTGGTAGACCAAGGGTAATGAAAACTATTGTAAAATTGACAACATAGGACAGTTATATGTCTTCAAGGTCACCTGTATACAAAATTTAAATAAAATTTACCATGTGGTTTATGAGTTATGGATATATTTCTGAGCTAAGACTTTGCCATTAGAAGGGCTTATTTTCAGAAATATGCATTGTATCTAAACATGTAGCGTCATCACTTAAGTTTATAATACGAAATCAACTTTAAGGACGCCGCTTTAAAAGAAAAGAGAAACAGTCTTTGCACAAAGCTAATTTATACTGGACGATTTGTTTCTTTGATCTTTATTCCTTATAATGTTTCTCTTTTTTTCTTTTTATTCAGAAAACAAAAGAGATTTCTTACCTTACAGACCTTTTACGGCTTATTGTGTTTGTGATCGTAGCAAAAATAATGACATACAAAGGCATTATATATCACGAATAATGGACAACACAACTATAGGCACAAGAATTATCTTAAATACGATCGATTCTATACAATTGGACTTTAAACATGACAAAACACATACTATGAGCACGGAAATTGTAAAAATAAATGATACAAGACCTTCAAATAATATTATTTCCTATACATCATTGAAAGAAGACATTTGGAAACGATTACAAAAAACTGAAAAAAGTGCATTTGAATTATATTTCTTTGTGAGTGACAACACTAGGATAGACCAAGAGGAAGCAGCATTGGGTGGTTTGAAGAGATTTAAAGTATTTGTTGTTTACAGTGGACCCGACCCTGTCCCAGTCCTTTGGACATCACTTGCCACGAATGAACACCATTTGCTACATGTAAAGGGCTTTAAAACCAATTAGGCTTTATCAGATTATATTGATGTAATGCTTCATGGTATAGTTTTTATTGAGTACTCTTTTAATGTCAATAGTCAACTCTCTTTTGTTTTATAAGGCGGAATATGTAAATACATTGTAAAACTTTGAAAATTTGTGTATACGTTTACTTGAAAAAAATCATTAAATTACAAAAGAAGCATCAGAGTTTTTCCAAACGATTTTGACGAACTATCCACATATCCGTTTGTGCTGACAAATATCATTTATGAAGGTTTTATCATATGGCATGAAGGAATCTAATGAACATGATAACATTAAATCTGTAGATACATTCACAGACTAACGCAAACAGATTTGTTTTATCAAACTTTATTGTAGTTCTGCCAGAATATTGCCTTTCTTTATATTTAACACAGACATTTTTACAAATTTATACTAATTATTTGACACAGATTCAAGACTGCTTTGTGATACTGATATGTTCTGGACTGGTACACATTGCGCCTCGTGTAACTTTACATGTACATACAAAAGATCCGACCATTGCAAGACGACTTGTCCATGTAAGTACTATGATCTTCGACCTATCTTTAAGTCGACAACACTTGTAAATCTAATGCATCGGAAAAGTTATTTGATTCAACTGCCTCTTGTTTTTCTTCTTGTTCTTTATTTTCAAAAATCATTTTTTTCTTCTTTAAAATCAAATATAATGTAATGTTAATTATAGTAAATAAATATTGTTAATTTGTTATACACATTGTTAATAAAATAACTGATAAGTATTTAAGGAACAATCCATTTTCATTACTATTTCGATTAAGGGTTATAAGCTTTATTTTATTGAATAAAATTAAATGAAATTACAAAGGTAAGAAAACATTTTTTTTAAATAAATTAACTCACTGGCGGCTTTAAGTTGTATCACGATTGTTTATATTGTTTTCAGATTTTGAAAAAGCTCCATTGGAGTCAGACAGCTGCACTGAAATTTGTGTCTGCAACACTATTTTATCATTAGTTTTAATGATTATTATCATTCTTTGTTGTATTTTACTATACAACAAAAAACTATATTTACGTTTGAGAAAATACATTTCAAGAAAATGTAAACGGGGAGGAGGTAGTGACACAAACAGAACAGAAGAGGTAGAACACAATACTAGCTATTGATGATTATACAAATTTATTATGTTTAGAGGAACTCCACTGAGGTCTTAGTATGTAAGGATATCAAATTTGAAAATTCTCAGATTAACTGGGACACTTAAAACTGAGCAAATATGCAAAATATGATACGAAATCTATTTTTAGTGCGATTCTTATTTTTTTATCTTGATCGTGATAAGTTTAAAATAAGCGTGTAAACGCTCATTCTTTTCGGATGAATTTGTGCAATAAGAATAATCTTTCTGGCAAAACGGAGTGAGTCAAAGATCTGAAATTATTTTAAAAAGTTGCAAGATGGATCTCAGATGGAACGAAGATCTCGAAAATATATTCCAAATCCTGACCTAAAACCTCAGTGAGTCACTTTTACTTTGGTACTGAATCAATATTTGCAAGATCATGATTGAATGTATTATCTGAAATTGGTTTAAGTTCGATTGCGAAACATATTCTTGCAACTTATGTTTATCACTTTCGAGTCATCTTCCTAGAACCAACCATTACTGGTGTCGTGTGTAGCAAACTTGGTCGTGACCCGATTAGGGCTCGAACTCAAGACCCCTGGGTTTACAGGCAGACACCTTTATCACAAGGCCACCGCTCCTTATTTATCAAATGAAATATATTTACTTATTTAACTGAAATTAAATTAGTATTATGCCCATCGACTGTTCTGGAATTTATTATTTGTCATGTTTTCAAATTAATAAAAGCATAACCTGAATATTAACCCCGTGACTCATACGAATATTTAAAAATATCCTTCTGAAATAATTTTGTACTTTAACTCAGTAAAATAGTGGGACACCCGGTTTTAATAATATGTTTTCATAAGTGTTAGTTAATATCAATTATTGGTCAATGGCCAATATGATAGCCAATCTTTTAAAATTTCCATTTATAAGAATTTTGTCTCAAATTGACCGTGTAAAATGAGAATAATATCACTTTAACATATAGCTAATTCTCTCTTTTAGATACCAATCAAATATTTTGAACTGCTAGCAAAATAAGTAACCAGTTGCTATTCGAAGTATTCATAATTTAAAATTTTTACATTTGATTAAATGGTTTTTAGTATCAACTTGAGGATGTAAAAGTTTATGATTTGTTTTAATAAAGTATCCTTGATATATTGGTCAATGCAAAAATAAGTTTTCTATTGGGATTTAGCAATTGAATAGTAACAATGCCAATGAAGAAGATGATGGTGCTGAAACTTCTGCTGATCAATCTCTAGTACGTGCACCTCTTGTGAGTGGAAATAGAAATGAAACATAGCCGCAAAAAAAGTTTTTAACGTTAGTAGTTACCCTGCAAATGGGAAAGAAAAAAAAGTCAGAAAAAAAATTCCAACCCCTAGAAAGTGTATTTTGTAGTGGAAAAGACCAAAATCCGAAAGTATTGAAACCCCGAACGGGATTTTCAGTGGAAAAGAAAGACAAATCGAAAAAATGTCGCAACTTAGAAAGTTGTATTTCTGCTAGTGGGAAAAGAAAAACAAAATCAAAAAAATATGTCGCAACCTCTAGAACGTGTATCTTTGCAGTGGGAAATGAACGAAAAAAATCAGAAAAAGGGATTTTTTAACGTATAACAATTTTTTATTTTTTTTTACTGTTTTTTGGGAAAAAACCCGTATAAGCATTATCAATAAATTACTTTTTTTTTTTATTTTTAAACCATTACCCTCTTTCATATTTTCATAAAGAAATAATGCAATGATTAAAAATTTATTATGGTCATTGGGAAAAAAATTTGTCAATAAATGTTTATTTTAAAAATTTTTTTCAAAATTTTAAATCGTTTTATTTATGAATTTTTTTTCAATTTTTTTTGAAGGTTACGAATCGGAAGACAAAGAACGGAAGGGGTACTTTAGGGCATCGTTCCTATATTTCTTGATATAGTGGTGAAAATTTATCATTTTTTAGTATAAACTTTTGTAGCATCTAGTTTTGAGCTTTTGTGACAGTATTTTAATAAATTCTTTATTTGTTGGCTTACCTGGTCAAGTTCTTTAAACCTACAATATGTGGAACTTGTTATCGGTTAGCGGATCGGATTACTCATAGTCTAAACTCGGAATCATTATTGATCGCTTTTGAAGAATAACAATGTTAAAAAGGTTTGTCTTTGAGGTCATAATAGGACCATTTTTATACATCATGTACGGTTATTAAATACAGACTCTTGATTAAGCTTCATGTATTTGGAACGTTTGTAGATATGAAAAGGCATTTGAGTTAGTCGGTAGGAAAATTCTTTTTGTATCTTTTGTATAAACGTTTGTTTGATAGCATGAATTTTACAATTTTATAACCCAGTAGATTCTAATTTGACTCTTATATCGTCTTGTGCTCAGTTAAACGCCTTCAAATTTCGCTTACTTCTTCAACAACAACAAAAACGGCTTGATTTAAAAACATCTATTTAAATGTATTTTATGTGTTGTCCTTTAAATAAAATGTTGTTCCTCTAAGAATAAGTTTAAAATAGTTTATAAAAATATTTATGACATAAAACTAGGCAGTAAGATGTTTTATAGGTGTGCAAGTATTTTTAACTTCATGAGGGATAAATGAATTGGTTCGGGGTCACATGAATGTGCTACTTAAAATGACAAATCACGACCACACCGTTTAGACTATGCAATATAACACTACGCTTTTTTGTACAATAAATGCAGTAGATTTTTTTTGCATGCTTATGGTAAAAGAAACTTATCCTTTCCTTGCATATCTTCATGTTTGTAACATTATGCATTTACCGTCTAACAAACACCTGCATTGTTCTAGAAATAAGAGTAAATGAAAGTCGCGCATTATTTCAGACGAAACACTGATTTAAAATCGAGAAAGATCATAAAATTATAATTACATAATATATATTTACAGAAAGTAAGTTGCGACATCATATGATTATGCTATTGATTAATGATATCGTCAAAATAATGTTGGTTTTGATTAAAAGTGGATTCGGTTGTTAGTTTAAACATATTATATATTCAGAATACAGCATACAGACATTTTAAAAAAATAACAACCTTGCAAATATTTTAATACACAGAAGGGATTTTGATGGAAGCATATTGTTAAGTAACGAGCATATTATCATCTTACGAAGTGTGTACTAAATCTATTGATTTATATCTGAATATTTTTAAAAAACTAGAAAAAATAATAGACACCAACGTTTAAAGTTTTGGAAACAAATAATACGTATTGAGAATAAGCACATAGACAGGAAATAACTATAAATTTAGTTTAGTAGGTACTAACATATAAATTAAATCGCAGAATAATATTGTAATATTTAATCACCAGGTTGCTGTGATATATAATGAATAATTACATTTATGTATTTTCATGTTGCAGTAATTAAACTCCTTGAATAAAGTAGAAATATTAAACAGTCATTTAATACTTATTAACACTCTAAATACACAGGTGTAATAAATTAAATAAGAATAAAAACGGTATCATGACGGAACCAATATTTAAACAGTTAGTATTGTGTTAAAGCGCCCTCTGTTGGATTTACAAAGAGCATTACTTGATTTATCGTTTTTATCAATTTAAGTCTAATCAATATACCTTTAAAAGTCATATCTTTATTAAATTTATTTAAATGCAGGCTTTATTAAAGCGACCGTCAGATTTTCTAAATGTTAAATATGCTATTTTAGATATTTTTGTTAAATGTAATCAGAGGAATTAAGGAGGAAGACGAAGAATTACATAAACAATAAGGAATTCATTGTATACATGTACCTCTAATCTAATGGTCCGCTGTCTATATTTAGATAAGTAAATCGGATACTTGGTTTTCCGATCTTCTATCTTTAGAAACTTTGGGAAAGACTTAACAGTGATCCATGATGATCTTTTCCAAATTTGAAATAATACATAATTGTTTTTCAAACAGAAAATAAAAGCTGAAGGCAGCTCTAAAGATCATTTTTCAACAAGATGAAAATCGTTTGTGTTTTTGTATTGAGTGGAATGTTTATTTTTGCAGCAAATCAGAACAATGGTAAAACTTTAATTGTTAAATAGATGATACATTAATCAAAATATGTCCTGATTTCATGCATATAACTTTATTTCCTGATTACATGTATATAACTTTAAATTTATCAGCAAATGTTGTATTTTGCAACCAGAAGTAAAATTAATAAACAAAACATGTTATAAAAGAATTGATGATATGTTGATCAATTATTTATTTACTATTTATTTATTTATTTATTTATTTATTTATTTATTTATTTATTTATTAATTTATTTATTTATTTATGGTAAGAGTCCAATCGATAACTGTCACCCATTTTTCAATATTATGATGGCTATTAGGGTAGAATATATCAAAATTAGTATCATAGTTATATAGTAATGTCCAACAAGTTTCTTATCATCTCACTACACCGACGTGCATAAACATGAATTATCCTATGCTTATGACTTGAATTGAAAACCCATTCTTTGTTCACGTGCTATATATCCGATAATGGGATATGCTTCTATTTTTAAAACCAACTAAACGTCTATTTATAAAGTTGTAATGGAAAGACATTTAAAAAAAAATCATTTTAAAGGAAACCAAATAAAGATCCGAAATAGTGTTTCAAGATGAACATTTCTCTTTTGCATAATACATGATTTGATATGTTAACTTGCAACCGAAATTATTTATAAACGTTTTCCTTAAATGGAATCTTTTTATATTTATTTGTAAGTTTATGAGTTTTAAACCCGGATGTATTTAAAAAATGTTGTAGCTTACACGTATGCGATATAAACATTATTCGAGGGTTGTAATAATATACTTATGAGGAATAAAAAGTGAGCCATTTTGTTATGCCAGTAATGGTAATCAGTTTAAGAACCTGTTAACTCTAAAGTGTTCTATGGAGCAATGTAAGTTTCTTATGACATTAAATAACAAACACACACAGCATTTTCTTATACATCTATTTCATATAAAATTACACATATTTCTGAAATTAAACATCCTTAATCTTGGTCATAGGTGAGAAAAAGTAAAAACAAGGTAAAAATATTACACTTTTATAAACACAGAAATCTTAATTCGAAAAATAAATAAATAAACAAGTGCAATATATATAAAGTTGTTTTTAATAATTTATTTTACTTCAATCCAAACCTGATCAAAGAGAGTTTGACATAAAATAAAATATAACACAAATGTAAACAATGCACAACACACAACAATTAATAAACAGTGAAGACCATACTAAATCCAAGATAAATAACAAAAATAAACAGTGAAGACCATACTAAATCCAAGATAAATAACAAAAATAAACAGTGAAGACCATACTAAATCCAAGATAAATAACAAAAATAAACAGTGAAGACCATACTAAATCCAAGATAAATAACAAAAATAAACAGTGAAGACCATACTAAATCCAAGATAAATAACAAAAATAAACAGTGAAGACCATACTAAATCCAAGATAAATAACAAAAATAAAATACCAGTGTATTCCAATATAGAAATCAATAAAGACCACATCGATATTAGGACTCCGGCTTTAAGTGCGAAATAAGGGATAAGTTTATTCGGAACTACATTGGCTATTATCTATAATAACCTCGGAAACAATACGGATTGAAAGTAGTTCTACCACGTGGTTTCAGATGTAAACAGAAACAGAGATAATGTAAACGAATGTATATATTTTTCATCTAATGTCTGCTCCGGTACTATTTTGCTTGAAAATATGTCTGACAACAATTTGTAAACTGATGTTCAATTTTAAACGAATCCGACTAAATGTCAACAGGTTGGTTTTTTGTACTTTCGGTTTCTTCAACTATAATAATAAATATATTTTTTAACCTTCGTGACTCTTAGTTTATACAAGAAGCGTTATCACTTTGGCTGCCGATTGATTCACAATTCTCTTTTATGCAACCACTTCGTAGTTATACAAGGCATGATTGAAAGATTGAACCTGTTTCAAGACATAAAATTTAACTGACGCCGAAGTCTCTGCACTTATACTAAAACACCTCTTCAGTTTTGAGTTGTTTGCCTCTCTTTAATATACATCATCTACTGCACGAATAAAATCTTAAAATGAGTACAGAACATTGCACTTTCAAACTTATTGGAACTATTTTTATGATAATCAATCAATTCAAAACTACAAAAAATAGACAAAAAAGACTTGTAAGTATGTTTCTTTCAATTTATTTCATGTTACTGCAATTTTCGTTTTTATTTTATCTTTTTATTTAGAAAAAAAGGGGTTTCTGTCCAGCAACTCTTGGGAAACATGTAAACCTTTCATGGCTTATTGTTTCTGGGATCGTAGCGACAATGACGACATACTTGTGCACTTCATATCAAATGTGATGAACAGAACAACAAGAGGTACAGAAATTGTCCTAGACACAGGTGATTCTAAAAAGATTAACTTTACAAATACTGATTCGCGAACAGTGGGTGCGGCAGTTTTGAAAGTGAAAAACGAAACGCGGGTACGCGAAATTAACATTATTTCCTATGTTTCATTGAATGACATTTCAAAACTTTTACGTTTACAAGCAGCTGATGAAAGAGCTTTCGAGTTCTTTTTCTTTGTAAATGAAAAAACTAAAATAGATCAAGAAGAAGCAGCACTTAAAGAATTCAAGAAATATAAAGTATTCGTTGCCTATCATGGACCGGCTCCTGTACCATACTATTGGAAATCTCTGGCCACGGATGAACACCATTTGCTGCATCTGAAACACAACATAGAAAAAGAGCTTTTGCTTTTCGAGAACGTCATATGTCATGGTATTTAAACACATCAGATTTTCAGCTTTAATTTGTAATTTCGCATAAATTAATACATTGTTGCTTGTTTCAGTGATGACATGTACAAATCAACATTTATATTACCAGCTTGTATCTCTTCCTTTGTAACAACATTTGTTGTTAAAACTAATAAGTAGGAAAAGCTGTGATGTTAGCTAGATTCTAAGATAGATAGCACTATCTAGCGATTTTTCTTTTTGCTTACCTCATTAAGAATTTAGATTTATATTTCTCTTAAAAAGAGAAAAAAATAACTTTTGAATCATGATAGGACGTTTACAAAGGTAAGTCAGTCTGTTTCAAAGATATTGTGTATGAAATTGTTTATATAAACTGTTGCATAAAGGGGACATTGCATTGGACATATTATATTAATTACATGCGCAGGTGAAAGTATTTTGTGGGAGCATGTTAATACTTATGTGCGCGCGTGTTAGTATCACGTAAAAACATTTAAAGTATTGCATAGACACGTTAATCTATTCCACACATGTATTTATTATTGCATCGTAGTTGACAATATGGTTGACACATTTGCATTTAATCCTAATAAAAATAGTAGGAACAATTAACACTTACGCATTAGCTTCTGCTGTGCTTAAAATAAGCTAACATCTGCTAACATTTGTGCAGTTAAAATAATAGTTCCTATGTTCTTCTAATTTGAGCGTGTATGTTACACAACGAAATCTTATTTTGACACAAATATTAATAGAGGCATGAACACCGTAAGTATTAAATAATATTGTACCTTAAGTATTTCAGGATATTAATGAAAAGAAAATGAACACTATTTTTGCATCTGTTACAGATTCTAGACTATATTGTAACAATGACATGCATTGGAACGGTTCAGAGTGCTCAACGTGCTCATATATATGTACCCAGACATCATCAGAATCAGAATATTGTACAAAGGAGTGTCCGTGTAAGTTTACATTTCTATATCAAGCTTTCTTTTAAGTTTTATATTTTTAATTTTTGAAAGAGACAACAACTTTAGAATTTCAGGTTTATCAGTTTGATTTTGGTGAATGTCAATCTTTTGTTAACATATGCTTATAACGGCGAAAAACTTAACATAATAATTTCTTGATTTTGTTTATATTATTATTTACCTTTTTACAAATTAAAATACTGATATAATGGCGAGTATGCTATGTGTCTAAATTGGGAGCCGCTTCAAATATTTATATGAGAAGGGTAAAACATGTAATTTAAAGACAGTGATAAAAATGTCGTTAGAAGTTTGTTAAATATCATTACAACTTCGGCATTTTAAGATAATATATATGAATTTATCATCACAAAGGTCTATCCCTTTTTTTTCCAGATTTCAAATACTTTTATTCAGCAGAAGTTAAACAAACAGATGGAGATATTAAATTCAAATGCGATTGTGTTTCTATCAACGAGCTGGTCATAGCCCTCATAGTCCTTGGTGCTATTTTTCTTTTGCTTTTGTGTTTCATTATTTTCAACCAAATATCGGATCATGTTACAAGCAAATGTAAGCATATAACATGGTTGAATACTAATGTTGAAGAAGAAACAGATAAGGTACGAGCTTGCCTTTTAACAAATTGGGAATAACTGAAGTTTAAGATTTTTTCTTTCCATCAATTTACAAAGAGACACTGTTCATTTTTAATGCTTTTGATACCAGTTTGATAGATCAATCTATTCAAACACGCATATCCTTATATGGAAACTATGTTTCCTTATAGTATTTCACCAGCTTATTAATTCATCTACCAAAGATTTTAGATTAAAGTGTATGACCAAGTTTTTGTAAATTTACTTACTTTTTCTTCATTATTATCGATGAAATGATTACATTTATTCACTGAAGAAAGTTTTTTTTTTAAATTATCTTTATGATATGTACAGTTGAAAATGAGATGAATTATTCAAATACACTTTTAACTATTACGAATCATAATATTTTGATTTGTTTTAGCGGAAATATTCAGTTTCTTTTAAAGTACATCTATGAAGGTTATATAAAGTGTTGTTTTTTTGTTATTTTAAATGCATAAATTCATTTATATTTATAATGAAATTGCAATTTAAGGTCCGCCATAAAGACGATTCAGTTGATTCAGAAAATGAATCCACAAGACTTACAACAGGAAGAAACAACGTTAAAGATGAGTGTAAGTTCTCCCTTCATGGTATGTTAGAAAACAATGAAATAAGACTTATCCACGCGTTATGCTATAAAAGTTTGTACACAACATATTTTCACAATACTCTGTGGAGGACAATGAGTTGTAGTAGATCTGATTGAGTTATAAAGTAAAATAAATCTGTCAATGATTTTACAAAAATGAAGTGCTAGTCTCTGAAAAAATATCGTTAGAAATATATGGATTTTATACATAGATCGCTCAGGATATTTATGCTTTAAACTCGTTCATGAGATTTTCACTATTATTATATTTTAATTTTAGGCACACAAAGCCGAAAAAGAAAACCAAAAAGGGTTAACAAAGGTAAAGAAACCTTGATTTCGTGATAAGTTTATGGTGCGATATGTAGGAATTCTTCATTTAGAAAAGCAGTGACACACAAACATTTCATCTTATGTGTATCTTGAAGGGCATGGGTAAGAGGGATATACTTGCCCAACAAAACGGGTCCTTTTGTGCTGTAGAATATTTTGTTTTAAATTATATATATATGTATGCTTCGTGTTGTTTGGAAGTGCATTAATATCAGCATGTGTGATCTAAGTGCATTGAAGGTTTGACTTTACTGATAAATCTTAGTTAGTGAAGAATATTTTTCTTCGTTTCCATTTCTGCCTTTATAAGTTTTGTCTACTTCAATCGTGAAAATACCTTGTAGTTTTTATTTTTGAAATTTAGTCATGCAAAACGTACATGATGCTTTTGGATCTAGGCACAATTGCTAATATATATTTAAGAGAAGCTCAACAATCAATACTTAATTAAGCTTGTTTTATGTATTTTATATTTAACTTTGTTAGTTCAGGGAAACGTCATCCAGGAAAATAAAGTAAGACAAAATCTCACCAATGCACAATACACAGAATAACTACAAATCTTCCAAAAGTTACATGTCATTTGGTGCACGTTACCGAAACAGACCGGTATGTTATCAAAGCATGTTTTTAAGATATTGCGACAAAAAAAAAAAATATATATATATATATATATATTGGTTTGTGGCTATTTCTTGGAAACATAGTGTATCAGCTGACTTAAAATTAGTGTGATCAAAAGGAATTTCCTTTTATAAAAGTCATTCAGACAAAATCTCTTTTCACAAACACGATACAAATTAAGTAAGCTATTTATGGAGGCAGCATATTAATGTTCCGAAAATAACTTTTTTCTTTTTTGAACATTTAATACAGCTGAAAATTAGTCAAACTTACTTTGTCTACTTTAAAACCTGTATTTACTCTTTGAATATATGAGCTAACGTAACTATGTTTAAATAAATCAAGGAAAGAGACCTTAGCCAACAATAAAAAATGTATTGTCTGATCGTGTTAATGTTTCGTGCATAAAAGCAATATCTTGGTCTACAGAACTTTTTATACGTATTGATGAATTTAATTATTTTAATATAAGAATGACAGAACATAGTTTTCTTATGAACAAAAAAGTATCATTGTTGTTTTTCCTTTCCCACTGTATGCATTATAACAAGTCAAATTGGGCTACTCCTTGTGAAAGTCAAATAAAACACATTACACATGCATCGCTTTTTTCTGTTATGTTTTTATTTGTAGAACATGTATCTACAACATAGTTATTTCTAAAATCTATTTTATATTTTTATATAGAACATGTAGAACAGACTGTGGCATTATTTAAATCGTCTTGTCGTGTTTCATCCGAATATGTTTACGTATAATTTCAAATTTTAAAATCCCACATGTATTTTAATGCTATTATGCTCAAAACAATTCTAAATCATCCAATTTGCAACGAAATGTATTGCCTATCACAAAATGTATATCGGGGAAGAACCATTTGTTGATGTTGTAAGAACTCGTGGTTCAACCATTTTGCTACTTTTTTGTTGAAATTATGATGACATACTGTTTTAAATGTGTAGAAAAAGAGCAACAAATATATCTTAATAACAAATGTATATAAATGTATATGTTTACCTTATACAGATCTATAAAACTGTTCTTTAATTAATTGCCTATATCTTACGACATTTAGATCATTGTTGTACAGTCTGGGGGAATTGTAACAATGAACATATTTTGGATATAATAAATTTTCAGAAAAGAGCTGCAAGAATCATTCTTGACAAAAGCTATGATGCTATGAGTATTTTGTGTTTTCATGTATGTTTTTTTTTTGTGTTTTCATGTATGTATTTTGTGTTTCATGTATGTATTTTGTGTTTTCATGTATGTTTTTTGTGTTTTCATGTATGTATTTTGTGTTTTCATGTATGTATTTTGTGTTTTCATGTATGCAATTTGAAAATTTCATTGTATAACCATGATGTAAATAATGTAGATTTTATGTATATTTGTGTTTATAGGCCCTAATGAAAGATTGGGTAACCAAATATGTAGCATCAGTAAATAATCACTCACTCACTCACTCACTCACTCACCAACTCACTCATTCACTCACTCACTCACTCACTCACTCACTCACTCACTCACTCATTATGTAACTTACTTACTATGTAACTTACTTACTATGTAACTTACTTACTTTGTAACTTTCTTTGTAACTTACTATGTAACTTACTATGTAACTTAATTTTTATGTAACTTAATTATTTACTTAGTATGTAACATCACTTTTGGATTGCATATTAGTAAGTAGGTTGTTCGTTGTCAAAATATTTACCACTGCCATTTTGCTGGTTCGATCAACTGTCGGGACGAAATCTCTCGGACATTAAATGCTCATTTTTTCTCCCATCGCTGATTTAGAAATCATGCAGGATTGCTATTTTTCGGAGAGTAATAACTGGCTAGTTATCCGGGCATGTGTTTTAATCGGGGTATAAAACGGATAAACAATCAAACAAATAAGCCTAATCGATCTTTCCATTCATATTTTGTATTCTAACTGAACTTCTTTTCATTTCGTCAATTCCTATTCAATATGATTATTCAAAGGAAAATGTGATTTAGAAAATTAAAATAGAGAAAATGGAATTTTTAAAGAATGATAAAAACGGTAACATTGAATATGTTAAGGTTGCTGGACACGACACACTGATAATTATTATTGATTGAATTGAGCCTGGTCACTTAAAGCAATGGAGGGCAAAAATAACGCTATCTCTCTAGGATATGTATGAACATTATGGTAACTTACTTTATAACCATGTGATTAAATTCGTCGATGATAATGGAATCTTCGTTGTGAAACTTTAATTAATTTCCAAAATAATCGACACATTGTTCTTATTTAACGGACGTATAACAATTTATTATATACTTATAAGAGTAATATTGATGAATTAAAATGCTTATTTCCATTTTCCGTATTTTCACTATAAAAAAATATTTTTCACTGCACTAAAACATATTTTCCGTATTTTCACTGGTGTCTTGCTGGACTACTTTCTTCTAGATTCATCTTTCATATAATAATGATAAAAAGAGAACAATGTATATAATAAACAGAATATTCAAGATTTCCGTGTAAATACAAGATTTATTATAATCTTGTGGTATGAAAATCATTATATTTCACTCGTGGCTACCGCCATTCATGAACTATTAATTTTTCATACCACTCGATGAAAATCAATCCTGTATTTGTAGAAAAAAAGTTGAATATCCTCTATATATTTTTGTAAACTATAAACTTATTTTTTCTCAGCTAACCAGTGAAATACTTGGTTTTACCCTTGAAAAACAAATCCTTATTACTCCGTATATATGTAAATTGACATTAAAAGTTCTTCAGTTTTGTCTGTATTTGATTTTTTAACCAAATTCTATTTTTCAAATGACATCATATTGATTGCTTATATTTACCATTTAAACACAACATGATTTATGCACATCTTTTTACTATTATTGACACAATGTTGGAGGAGACAAATGTTTAATGTTATTAAATTGTGTATATTTATTCGATTATTTTTTTTATTTAAGTTTGAATGTGACATTGTATCTGTTTTTCTGTTTCGAAAGGAATACAAAAACACAACAATAAAATAAAATCTAGGAAAAATTTCCATGACATGTTTAGGGTTCTATTTCTTCATTCGCTGTACATTGTCTGATAGTTTCTTAAGATATATCGGAAGATATAGCCCTAGAACTAGATTTATATATGACTTATTTTTTTATGGTCTTTATTACATTTTCTGATTTCTTCATGTCTATACATTAGATCTTCTGATATATTGAAGTCATTTTAGGAAGTTATGTGGGTCACATCTTGAGCTTATAGAGCTTCAATGTTATACTTTGTTGGTTGCGCTTGATTACGTCGTCTTAACTTAAAAATGTGTTTGCATGTGGCTACAGTTCATTCAACAACAGCAACCATCTTGAAAGCCAGTGAGAGTTGTTTAAGTTATTTCCTCATTCGTTTCTCTCAACCGGAAATAAATTATTCACCATCTAATAATGTAAATCAGCTCTGGGAAATGATAACAAAACACAAAATGCTATTTAGGGATTGCCTTGTGCATTGTGTTATACAATAACATATCGGACACAATTTTTGTATATCAAATTCAACTAAATAATTTCATGATAAACTTATCAAACAAGCATACATGTATACACATTATTATCATTTATCAGCAGTACAATCTATTCACAATATTTTGAACAATAAGTAGCATAACCTTGTAAAATTGACTCATGTTTATGACAAGTAAATCCTAAAGACAGATTTTGTATCACTTAAAGGATATGTAATATTAATTGAGCTTTCAACAAAACTATTGCTGCAGAGAAAAACAAACGTTTATGTGAGCATTTAAACAAAATAATATAGAAATAAAAAAATATACAGCATACCAGTAAATAAAACCTGAAAAATAATTAAAGGCAATTTAACCACAGAAATGCTTTCATAAATTTTGTTACTGATAAACTTTAATATTAGCGATTCCAGAAAGTTAAAGACCAATAAATTAACATCTTCAGGTAATGACCATTTAACACGCTCGAATACACCGTGTATATCCAGTAACGCCGGAATGTGCAAATAACGCACGATTCGTGCAATAAGTAACGCAGAATTGTGCAATAAATGGCGGATGCCTGACAGGATTTCCAACGCGGTAAGTAAATTGGCCAACATATTTGTTATTTAACCGAACTGAAAAAAATGAATAGCTGTATACGGCTGCGAAGACATGACTCTTTATCCCTCATCAAGATTATTTCCACGAAATTGTTGACTTTGCAAGATTATTCGTGAAAATGATGGCTTGACCACCGTTTTGAGCGAGATTTTGGCTTTTTTGTTGGCTCTTATAAGTTCAACAATGCATATTATACCGTATAATTTCGATTCTCAGTAGGCAAGTGACATAAACCTAACTTCTTGTGGTATAGAAAATTGAAATTAAACTGATAAAATGTGATTCAAGCCATTTTTATGAGAAATCGTATACAAATTAGGGCTACCAGTAGATTATATTTTTCCATCCGATCATCTTTCTAAATCGAGCTAAACGGCCGTTTAATAACAAGTTGTAATGTAAATAACATGATTAGGTGTAAAACAAACTGAGACGAGATAATATACGATAAAATATTTAATCAATTATTTTCAAATTGTACATCATATCAAATAATTCTCCCTTGCATAACATACGATCTATTAATTACAACCTAGAACATGTATAAACGTATATTTGTCCCAGTTTGAAATAAGCCATTTCGGTTCGAACCTATGTTAAAATATTGGAATAAGTGATCGTTTCATAAGGACGAGCGCGACGTTCTTTTTATCAGTACTGTATCAAAAGATAACCTAATCATGTGATGACATGTAGTTGAGGTTTGTCGCTATCGAATTCACGCACCGAATACAAAAAAATGTACAATAATGATTCACTAAAATTATTCTCTTCCTATAATGTCTTAAATGTTGAACATATTCACTTCATATGATTGTTTAAAGCTCAATGTCTCTATCTATGTACTTAATCGGCAGTGTCAACTATCACAGTTTATGATATTTCAACGAAATAATAGTGATTGATTCGTTTAATGATATACAGCTCAATTAGGATAATAATGGAGCAACATGCCGGTCATATCTACTATTTTGGTGTAAAGCCGTAATCATATTGCACAAATTATCACTAGTCAATCAGTGTGATAATATATCTTACAAATATGGACGAAATATACCAACTGTCGGCAAGGATACTGAGTGTTTAATTTCTGGTTAAGATGCAACGTCCCATGCTGTACATTTTCTCGAAATGAAATCTTTTAAGTCAAATCTTGTATTTGTTTCCTTTTATTTTTAAAGTGGAATATCTGTCGGTGTCAGGTAAACAAATAAATCGCTAAATCTATGTCAAGTAGGCAGATAAAATTCCTTTAAAAGTCGTATGATTTGGAGCTTGTCACGTTATATTTTTTTACTTTAAAGTATACGACAAATTCAGTAATTTATTTCCGCGTTTTGTTGAAAATAAACTATTTTGTCATGCTTTCAATGTGCAAGAGCGATGTCATTTGACAGTAACGATTTGATAATAAAATTAACGGGACTGTTTTTTTTAATATCGCCCTGAGTAACACATAATCAACGACGCATCATCACGTGATTTAATCCGTAAATGTATGTTTTATTCTATGGCAATACATATCTTCGTGCGCTTTTTTAATGCGGAATATATGGTACTATTTAATGATACCGACACAATTTTGTCATGCATGCAATCATCCCGTTTACTAGAACAGAGTCTGAAATCACTTCGCTTCGTGCTGTTACCACCGTATATCTGTTATTATTTGAGTGTCATAACGAAAAAAAAGATAGAATCGCGATGTCAAGATTAAGTTTCCGCACATGAGTTTTTTTTATCGAAACTGGAAGATATCATTATATTCATACTAAACAAAGAATCTGCAAATCAAATCGCGACAACCGGAAACAGAATTTCACTTCTTCCTCGATTGTCCGTGTTATAAAGATTTAAGAAGTAAATATCTAAAACCGTACTATCACCATTGGACATCAATCAATAAATTAAGTTAATGTCCGATACTTCTAAAAAGAATATCTGTAGCCTTTCTAAATACTTATATTTCGCAAATTATGTGTGTGTGCGTGCGTGCGTGCGTGTGTGTGTTTATACTTGCCACCGTTTGCCCCATATGGGCGAGTCCTCTAGAAGAGTATTTTAGAGTTTGGAGGATAGTGCAAGGTACAGATACAGGAAGATGCCCCAAATCCAGAAGCTTCTCCTGGTTCTTTAGCGTGCCAAGTGTTAAAGCTCTCATGCACACGACCTCGATTTAAAGTCTCATCCGAAAGACTAGTAATTTTAGTTGGCCAGCCCGGGAATCGAACCCACAATGTCAAGATTACAAGTCTCCCGCTCTAACTGATTGAGATATGCGGGCTGGCATAAGAATTGTGTAAACAATACTTTAGTATGTTATAGGTATAATTTGTACAAAATATTCCTTGTTTCACATATACATCTATAAATCAAATATTTTTTTTCCTAAAAGCGTTGTTATCTTATCCTTCTAATGGCATTTCATCAGTAAACTTCAAGTGAACAACGGATAAACATTAATAATAACAGTTTTACTTTAAATTCAAATATTTTGTTCATCTGAAAAATATGTTATCAGTATACTTTATATTATTGATAAAATGCTTTTGATTTATACTTTATATATGAATAAGATATTTTTGTTCTTCTGGTATTTATCTTTATTTCCCCTAAAAGCGTTATCATCAGTACACTTTGTTTATGTTTTTTTTTGTTTTGGGTTTTACGTCACATCGACACAGTATAGGTCATATCGCGACGTCCCAGCTTACTGGTGGAGGAAGACCGTGCATTATTTCAGGCACGAACGGGCACCTGAGTAGAACCACCGACGTTCCGTAAGCTAGCTGGATAGCTTCCTCACATGAAAGAATCCAAAGTCCCTGTCGGGATTCGAACCCACTGCGGGGCCAGTACACTTTGTTATCTTATTCTTTTAATGGCATGTCATCAGTACACTTCATGTAAACAACGGATAAACATTAATATTAACAGTTTTACTTAAAATTCAAATATTTCCTTCTACTGAAAAATGTGTTATCCGTATACTCTATATTAAAGCTTGAATGCCTTTGCTTTATACTTTATGTAAGAATAAGAAATCTTTGTTCTTCTGGAAAATATGTTAACCATTACTCTCACTGCGTATACCATTATTAACATTTAATTTTCTTCAAGTTGGCTATAAACATTGTATAAAATGTTTAATGCTTAATTAAATTTATATTATGCTATGTTATGTTATAACAGATCAAAATATGCATGTTTCTCCAAACTAAGTGTCACGGTAAACTAAGGAATTGTTATTCAGGCCTAACCTAGATAGATAAACCAGATATCGTATCCACTCATTTTACAAGGCTACATATCAACAGTGCGGAAACCGATCGAAAAGGTATGATTTTAGTTCTATAATACGAAATATAATTCTTATTTACAAGAGGGAAAAAAAAGTAAGAATCAAAATTGTATTTAAAATAAAGTTAATTAGTTGATTTAAATTACAATATCTGAAGATATACAATTTTACTGAAAAATGAAATTTAATGTGAAAGATAAATGCAAATTTATTTAACAACTAAAGGAATAACTGCCGGGGTTATTTGAATCTGAAAAAGCAATAGCTTTATAACTTTTTTATTATTCAAAATGTTGTTTCTGCCGTACTGCCCTAAATTTCGTATAAACGACCAATTGACATCTTACTTTCGATTTAAAAATCGTCATGGAATAATCGTTTCCCACTATAGTAAACATATAGCAAAGTAATTTGACTTTTTTTGCAGTAACAATGCACAGAAATCGAAAATTGTGTTGAAAAGATGGATCACAAGAGTGAGATAGCGAACAAGACGTACGAAAACTGGGTGAGGGGTGGCCTGGCATACAAATATCTAAAACAAGGTCTAGAAGGTTTTGCTGATGATGTTGTTAAAGAAGAACACAAAAGAATCCTCCGTAATGTCATTCACGCGTCTAGCAACAACTGTAGTAACTGCAATTTTAAAGATTTGCGACCTTTGCATACTTGTAAAAGAGATCATACTGGCAAGAAAACGTGTCCATACGGACAGAGAAACTGTAACTGTTTACAAGGCAACAAAAAACAACCATGTCCTTCTAACATATGTGGTGTTTTAATGGATGAAATATTAAATAGTCATGGAACCTCACCACCTCAACCATACTGGAAGAATACGGATA